GGCACAGGCGTGCAAGAGAGGGAGAGAGCGAGACATGTGTCGAGAGAGATGTGCGTCTGTGCGTGGTTGAGTGTGATCCGTGTAGAGCCCGGGGCGGCGTTTAGGAGCAGGTGAGGCACCCGCGCCGCTTGAGCGGGTTAGAGCGAGTCACGGGCACCAGCGGTGCCGGGTCAGCGCCGGGTGGCACTGAGAGTGAAAACGCGCGCCCGTCTCCGAAATCGGCCGCACGGCACCGCGACCCAGCGACGTCGACGTGCCCGTGGTGCGGCTCCCCCTCCGCGCGGCTCCAGCCGAGAGTGCGGCCTATCCACAGCAGGAGGTGTGAATGAGTGGAGCTGTGAATCGCGTGAAGGCTCCAGGCAAGGGTGCGGCCGTGCAGCGAGAAGAACCGCACGCGCCACTGACCGAGGTGGTCGCTGCGCTTGCCCAGGGCGCCAGCCTTGTCCGGCGGCCCCAGCGCCTCCCACTCCCCGCCGCTGCGCCGCCCCACCGCCCCTCGCGCGGCCTGCGCGAGCGCGCGCACTGCCGAGCGAGACACGTCGCCGAACCTGTTCACAGCTAGAGGCGTGAAGAGACGCTGCCCACAGCGCACTGCCGAGCGAGACACGTCGCCGAACCTGTTCACAGCTAGAGGCGTGAAGAGACGCTGCCCACAGCGCACTGCCGAGCGAGACACGTCGCCGAACCTGTTCACAGCTAGAGGCGTGAAGAGACGCTGCCCACAGCGCACTGCCGAGCGAGGCACGTCGCCGAACTGGTAGTCCGGCTGCCCGTGCCTCCCCGCCCGCTCCGCCCATGTCCGCGCGCGCGCCGCCGCCGCGGAGCCGCGGTCCGTCACACGGCGCTGCACGCCCAGCTCGGCCGCGATCGCCTCGCGCACGCTGCTGCGGGCCGCGCCTGCGGGTAATCTCGGGTGATCTCGGGTGTGATCTCGGGTGATCTCGTATCACGCCGCCCGCCGCGCCTCCCCAACCCTCGGCGCCGTCGCGGTGCAAGGTGAGCGACCAGCCCTCGCCTCCGCCTCCGCTGCCGCCGGTCGCCAAATCAGCCTCCGCCCCTCCCTCCCCTCCCTCCCCTCCCTCCCCTCCCTCCCCTCCCTCCCCTCCCGCCCCTCCCGCCCCTCCCGCCCCTCCCTCCCCTTTCGGCAGAGCTCCCTCCCCTTTCGGCAGAGAGCACGCGGCGGCCAGCGCCGGGCAGAGGCGGCGCAGGTGGTTGTAGCCAACCACCGCCTCGCCGTCCACCGCGGCGACCACATCCCCCTCCTCCACCCCCCTCGCCTCCCCGGCAGCGCCCACCGCGCAAACCACAGCGCCGCCGCAGGGCGAGGCGCCCAGCGCGAAGCCAGGCGCCTCCCCGACGCCGACCGCCAGCGTCAGCGTCTCGCGGGCCGGCGGCGCGGTGGTGCTCTTGAGGATCTCGCCAAGTACGTGGAGCGCGCGCGCCCGCGCCAGCCGCGCCTCGGGCGAGCGTCCCTTGTCCGCGGTCACCTTGAGGTAAGGTAAGGTCAGTACACTTCACCACACACACGAGGCGGCGGGGCAAGGGCCAGGCTAGTCCCTCGCGACTCCACGTCTAGAAGACAGGAGCCCCCAACGGCATTCACAGTGCAAGGCCCGGTGCGCGCGCGGGTCTCCTTGTGCACTGCCGCGCGCAGGAATTACGTGAATGAATGAATTAGTTCACTCATTCATTAATCACCTTGTGCACCGCCGCGCGAAGCGTCGAAGCAACGTCCACCTGCCAGCCAGTCAGTCGGTGTGACACACGTCCTACTAGCATGGACGACGGAACACAGGGCATTACACGAGGGCGTTGTGTGCGTTCTCAGGGAAGGGGCAACACCACAGACGCAACGTCCACCTGCCACACTGACAAGAGGAGACCGCCAGTGCCCGCCAGTCTCCAGGACTCTCCCCCCTCTCAGTGACCGCCTCCGTGCACACTCGAGGTGGCCTTGTCGCACGGAGCGGGGGCTCGATCTTACGGAGGGGAGGGCTGGGCTCGTCATGGTCATGCAGGAGCGAGGGGCGCCC